GGGGGGGGGGTGAGGAAGAAGACCATAGGGAGGGGTAGAGGTTACTATGGGGAGGGGTAGGGGTTACTATGGGGAGGGGAGAAAAAATGGGATTTTTATGGGCTTCACACACTTTTTTTGTGTGTAAACACGCAAGTGCTATCTGGTCAAAAGTAGTGTGTCTTAGACACACTTTTAAAAGGTTGAGTATGTAAAAGATTTCCCGTAAAAGAGATGTGTGTAACAAGAATTTCGTTGTAAGGTTGATGGGTAACCTATGTATTTTGCCTTTAATTTTTTATCTTGAAGTTCTATCTATGATCATGAGGCAAACAGAGATAAAAAATTAAAGACCATCCAAAAAATGTCATATTTGTGCAATTTTTTGCAAGAAGAACTAACCCAAGTAACTCCCACCCAACTGCTTAAACGAAAAATAGCCGGTGGAGGTATAATATATGCATAATTTATGTATAATTATGTATAATCATTGTATAATCAATGTATATGGATATAAAATTAAACAATGAATATGATCGGCTATTTGTGTAAAGATTCTATTTTTGCAAGAGAAATTTTCATAAAGCACTATCTTTTAGTAGTAATTAGTCATCTATAGATACCATTTGCTATATTACGGATTATAGATACCTTTTATGTGGTTATAAGATGTATTTGATGTATTTAAGCTATTGTATTCACGAATACAGTAGCAAAAATAGGCGTGAATCAGGGAAGTCCAGCTAATCAGTTGTTGTATTCAAGTGTATTCGATTGTATTCATGGAGTGAAACGTGGCATTACAGCTGGACAAATTATTGTATTCGATTGTACTCACGGCTTGAAATAGGGGATTACACTGTTTTTAAAACGGAAAGTGAATCAATTAACATAATAGACTCCTAATATAACTCAATAAACTCAATTATAACACACAAATTTTGTATTTTCAGTTATAAAAAAGATTCTCAACCAAAAAATACACCAAAAACATAGCAAACTTCAGAGAAATTATATAATACATCTGAATACGTAAATTATATTAATTAAAAAAACAGATGAATACATTCATGGCATATAGCGAGATAGTGAATACAATGAAATACATAGAATACAACGAGATACATTGAAATACAATGAAAAAAAGACAGTGAATACAATGAAATACATGGAGTACAACGAAATACATTGAATTACAATGAAAAAAAGACAATGAATACAATGAAATACATGAAAATACAGTGTGATTCGTTGAAAATACATTGAAATATATTAACAGAAAAACAAGTTGCTTAGCCCCAAAATCCGTCGTCTTTGTTCAAGAACAAACCCTAATTTCCGACGAATCCGCCGTCGAGCAAAAACTCTGAATGGAGACGGTTGTTGCTTTTATTAAAGCCTTTCGATGTGTTACCGACAAACCAATCAGATAACAATTTTCATTAACGAGAAAATCGTTCACATGGTTAAAGCAACTTGATATTTACCGTCTTTTCTTTCTCTGTTATTGCTACATTTGTTAAAAACTCGAGAAAAGCCAGCAAGTTTGTGCGTTAACTCGTTAACGAACAGAGGCAACAATCGTGATTTTCTGGGAGAAGAGAGTAAAGTGTATGCAAAATGAGAGAGAACGTGGTTTGTGAAATTTACCGTGATTATGTGAGAGAAAATCTGAAAAGGGAGAGAGAAAAATATTAATTTGCGTATATGGTGCCTTAAGTGTAGGATATAACTATAATTAGATATTTTGCTATAAAGGGTAAAAGATAATTATATAATATAATTTTTTAAAATGATATTTATTTAAAATAAATAGGGTACTAAGCTTTTCTATAGGGGGTAAAATTTCCTTTTTGCAATAGGTACATACTAAAGCCCAAAAGATATGCTTAGGCCCACCTGATTTTCATTTTCAAAATGAAGAAGAAAATAATTGGGGAGTGTTCAAGCATTCGAGCCAAACTCCGACCCCTCTAAGCTCCTGCTGCTGTTCTCGGTAAACTCCCTTTCCTTCTCCTCCCACGCTCATATTCTTCCTTACGGCTCTATGTATATAAAGAATACATGTATATACAAGTTTCTATACCTATATCAGGATGATTCTTTTGTATTGACAAATGGAAAAATACCATATGGAATCAAGAACTGTTTTTTAAAATATATTGCATTTTTTATATTTTTTTCATGTTTCAACATTTTGTGGCCTCAAAAGCTTATACGGATTCCAGTTTTTAACTTAGTAGATACAGAGTAACGTTAATTGAAAAAGAAAGAAAGAAAGAAAGAAAAGATAAAGAGTACCACTAGACCTGCGGCTACTTTGTGTGTGTGTACAGCCAATAGCTGATGTAACTGTCTTCAACTTCTTTATTTACTTGAGAGCTGACGGGAGTACGGGGTTCTTCAAGAAAGTGTCACATATTATATAACTTACTAGTAAATAGCCCTTGATCCCAGTGGCGAAGCCAGATCACGAAGGTTGTTCAAAATTTAATATACACATATAAAAAATATTTTTTGACCTGTATACACAATATAAGTTTCTATATACACTGCTTTTTCGATGAAGGGTATTCGGTTGACCACCCTTCAATGCCCGTGCCTACACCACTGCTTGATCCTAGATAAGTGAGCAGATAGCCACATGGCTAGAACGAGAGGGAGCATTATTCTCGACTTAGTCTCTGAAAGGCCAGCTCGTTGTAACCCTAGAAAATTGTGTTTGGGATGGGGGGTGGGGTGGTGGGAACAACTATATAACATCCGCCTGCCTTAGTAATGCTAACACCTCATCTTTGGTGATACTACTTCTAACTGGAAATGGATTAAGGGATCTTCTTGAATCTTTGATACCTGAGCTCCTTTTATTCATTACAATTTTGTTTGCTTTAGAGTATTGGTTATATGATAAATATTAGTTTCCATGAATTCAAAATAGTTTTGTCGACAGAAACAGCAACCTTTAGATTATATATTATGACTATGAGGGAGGATAATCATGTTCTAACAATGATTTCTCACTGTTCTACAAGGCAGAGAAAATTCTTAAGAGCAACAAATTAAGCATAAGTCTAACTAGAGAAACAACGTTAATTCCCTTGTTCCTCAATTTTCACATGAAAAGTCAATATAAGCCAAGGACTTGTCCTTGTTTTTGTTCCCTTCTTTTATGTTTTAGTTGTTAACGTATTCTCTTGGTGTGGAGGTGCTTTCTCCCATCCCATTGAATATTCTTTAAGCAATTGAGAAGAAGCATTGTGTATTCTAGACTCTAGAGACCTAACCATGATTAAGTCGTGATAGGATGATGATGTATTGGGGTTGCATTATATTTTATGCTCCATTACCAACTCGGGCACTCTCTGGTGAAACAAATGATGAATGCGCTTGAGCATGATTTGGTCGGTGATTCTTGAAAATTGAACCTCTCTCTGAAGTTAAAAAAAAATACTCAAGTGTTCTCTTCAATTTTTATATTTTACTTCCTAATGAAAAAGCATCATGGGTTGCTTACATTAACCTATCTTCTATTCCCTAGGAGCTTAATGATCAAGGGCCTTCACAGAAATGAATCAACTCTCAAATGCCTTCTCATGGCTGAATTTGGGCGTCACAGATAGCCGGGATGATACAGAAACTCATGTGGAAACTGAGACAGTAAATGGAGGAGGTAATGATGGGGCCAGAATTTGTATCTAAATGCCTGCTTAATTCTAAGATTTCTAGATCAATAGCTTTGCTGAACAGAATAGTCGAATAATTGAATGGTCAATAGTAAAAGTTGGAGATATGTAGTTGATCCTTGCAAGAAATTGACAATTTTTGAACTCTTCAGATAAAGCCAACGAAAAAAATGGTAGCTCAGGAGAGGTGACAGCACTCAAAAATGAAAATGGGGATCAGAGGTCACCTTTGATTCCAGGAGAGTACAAATTTCCGCTTGTATGGATTGACCTTGAGATGACTGGTAATTATTAATTCATGACGCGTTGGAATTGGCCTGGTTCTTAAAGATGGTGTACTAAAGGACATCAATCACTGTACTTTGATTTCCAATGACTTATGACATCAAGTCCATTCAGTATGATTTTAGAGCACTCTATGATCTCTCATGTTTGCAATCCTATGTTGATTGTGTGGTCTTGAGCCGTTGATACTACCAGAGTCTTTTTAAAGGATGGTTATAAAACAAATGTTGAGTATTTCCCCTCCTCAAACTTTGCATTTTGTATCTTATGCCAGAGAGGCCTCCTGAGTATTATCATCCTTAACGAACTAACTGCTCCGAATCAGTGATCCAAAGAAGAAACTCTGAACTTTTTATCTCCTGTTTTCCAGAGGTTGTTTCAAATTTTGAGTCTTGAAAACAAAGCAGCATTGCACATCTCTAAAAGTGCTCTTGAAGATGAAATTTTGGTAGTATTATTTCCTTTTGACATTTCCTTTCTATGTAGGTTTGAATATTGAGGTTGATAGGATATTGGAGATTGCCTGTGTAATTACAGATGGAAATTTGACCAAATCAATTGAGGTAAAATTGTCTGTCTTTTATAATGTATTCCACATTCCTATTCTAGTTTACACATTGTTAACATCATCATGGAGGAGTTATCTATGGTAATGCGTATTGTACATATCAGCATAATGCTAACTGGCAGGCTGCTTTGCATGGCATTGGTAATATCCTTACTTATCTGCAATACACATAACTTACTCCACCTTATCTATCATTAGAATTTTTCCGTGATGGATCTCTCCTCGTGCATCTATACATCTCGTCTATACATTACGTGCTTCTACTAACAGGAATTTATTGTGTGCTTTCAAAATTAGGGTCCTGATTTGGTTATACATCAAAGCAAGGAGTATCTGGACAATATGGGAGAATGGTGTCAAAGCCATCATGCATCAAGTGGTAAGTGACTTAAGGTATATGCATTGCTCTAGGTTATAAGATTCTCATCAGGAATGCAATAATAGTGTACATTTTGTTTTTTGTAATGTTAGTTCAAAGATGAAACTTAACGTAATTTAGGTTTGACTCAGAAGGTGCTCAAGAGTACCATCACAGAAGAAGAAGCCGAGAAGCAGGTATCCTATTCCTTTTTGTCTCTAGTATGCTGATATAATGAACATTATTTTATGTTTTCGGACTTGAGGATCATAAAAATTTAGGAACATAAGGTCCCATTTATAGCTTCTCTGATTGTTTCAAGAATCCGTTCCTTGGAGATGTTAGCTTTGTGTAACATTTTGAGGTAGAGGTACATCCTAACACATGTAAATTGGCCTTGTGGTGAATGGCATTCATCCGATAAGGCAAAAGATATAACTTCATTTTTCTTGAAGAGCTGTAACCAGCATTAATACCTTCCATTTACTCTTCCCTTTTTCTTTCTCTTTTCTTACTCTGTTGTAGTTTTCCTTTTTTATTGGTGTATTTCTTTTGCCATTTATTACTGTACTTTTAATGTTGCTTCCATGATAGAGCGTGTGTAATGCTGGTGAGATCACATGTGGAATCCACAGACTTCCCTCATGTGCTAGAGGTTCTACAAGCTGGTCCTTTAGATAAATATTCTTTTTTGTTCCCCTTGTTTTGTGTAGGTAGCTGAATTTGTCAAGAGAAACATAAGGACGTATACACCACTACTCGCAGGAAATTCAGTCTATACGGATCTTCTGTTTTTGAAGGTATGGTGTGTGTATGCCTGATTATGTAAACATCATTTTGTGGAATCTCATCTACAAGTAGATGTATGTGATTATTGCTATTTTACTACAGAACTTGATAGCCTTTCAAAGTTCAGGCTTGTAACGTCATTAATTATTAACTATACTCATTCTAATTTATTCATTGCAGAAGTTTATGCCAAATTTGGCAAGTTTGTTTTCACATGTACTTGTTGATGTCAGCAGCGTAAAGGCATTATGTCTTCGTTGGTTTCCACGAGGTAAAACTATACTGCACTTTAATACTTCAATATCAGTAGTTGATGCTTTGATACAACCGGCTCAATTTCTCACTGTTGCATGTTGTGTTTTGCTGCTTTTTGATTAGACCACAGAAAAGCTCCTCAAAAGAAAAACAAGCACCGAGCTATGGATGACATTACGGAGAGCATAGCCGAACTCAAATACTACAAGGAGCACATATTCAAAGCCTCCAAGTCTAAAAAGTGATAGTGAAGGAGATTTGTATCTCATGTTGAGGATTCTTTTCATCTGATTCCCAAAATGAGGCGTTGTGTGCCAGTGGAAAGTGATACGAGCAGTTAAATGTATCGTCTTTTTGTCTAAGTTATGATCTTATGATGCTTGGCAAACTGATTTCCTTGTACCTTCACATCCTTGGCTATCATATAAATGGATTTAATTTATGTACACTGATCGTGTAAAAAAAAATTTTACGTTATCGGGCTAATCGATGTATTTTGACTGGTTGTAGCAGGTTACTTGCCTTATTTTCCAGGTTTGATCGGGAAGTTCTTTTGCGTTGACAGTGTATAAAAAACAAATCCAGTGTAATCCCATAAATGGTAGGGTAATGTGTATGCAAACCTTACTCTTACCTTATGAAGATAGAGAGGTTGTTTCCGATAGATCATCGGCTCAAAAACAGACAGTGTATAAAAGTTAAATTCTGTAATTTGGGGGGTTTTCTATTTCAACTAACAAGCATTCCATATGAATGCTTATTTATTCATCCATTTGTTTGTGTTTTCCGGCTTGGCGAGAACCAATGGTAAGAGGTATTCTGTTGTATGCTAGTTGACAACAAACGAACTCAGACCAACTAGCTGTAATGATCATATTCTTGAATATGGAATGAAAAGAAGAAATATTAGTTTCTTGCATGGGATAAAGAATAAGTCTCATAAATAAAATAGCATTTATAAAAACGATTTAACATTAAGTAAAATATAACATGGAAGAGATTCATCAAGAAAAATGTCTAATTCTATTATAATAGAAGTACACCAGTGCAAGTCAGCTAAACACACATTCCCATTCTCAAACTTAATTTATCTGGTTCTCAAACTAAATATAGAAAATAACCACACTTGAAATCGATAGAAATAGTTTTTGGTATATTATTTGAAATTATGAGATTTTCACTTGAAAACATATATGTATAACTCAAAGAAAGAAAGAAAATAGAGAGAAGAAAAACATCATTGAAACCTCATTGTGGCGGATCTAGTAAAGATGACAGGGGTTTATCCGGACACAATAGCTTTGATTTAGACCAGAATATATATNTTGGACGAGATATAGTAAAATTTTGAATTAAAACCCATATAGTTTAAATTACGAATGCTCCTTTGAATTGGTAAATGACACAAGTAGCCATTCCAAAGGGTTATTATTTAGGAATAAGCCAAAGCATCCTGAATTTTAGTTTTCAAGATCAATTTTTCATGATATAAATATCTTGAATTATACTGAAATTAAAATTTTTAGTTTAAAATTTTAGGATATTTGTAAACAACTCCCTAAAAATGGTTGTTTGTACACTCACCAAAAAGAGTCGAAAGCAGGCATAAATACACACGAAGGATGGTCATATATAAGAGTAGGTTGTTTTAATCAAATTTTATTCATTAAAATTCAAATGAACCATATATTTACACAACTCCTATTAAGAGGAGACAAAATATAAAGAGAGTGCTAAAAAAAGGCTATTTGTGCAATTCAAACCCAGGACTTCAGTATAGGGTTTTACAGAGGGTCAATCACACTCCTCCGATAGAGAGCAAAAATGTGGAGACCTGCAGTTCTGGCAAGGAAAGCATTTTCCAGAAAATTTATAGCAAATCAAAGCTTCAGTGGCTTCAAAAATCACACCTTTATTCTTCCTCAGGTACTCAACAATCAAACTATAGCTCCACTAAATTCAGCTGAATCTCCATTTCGTTATTATTCTCATTGGGTCTCTTCCAAATCTTGTTTACACGAAACAAAAAGGCTTTTTTCATCTTCAGATTCCGAATCTGTAGGTTCTGAACCCATTAAAAATGATAAAGATACTGTCTTTATAGACAATCTTGAAACTGTTTCATCTGAGTCCAATGAAGGGTCCATTGTTTTTGATGAAATTAAGGATAGTATAGCAGCTGAAAAGATTTCTGATTTTGGAGAAAATGAGGTTGTAGTGGAAGAATTAGACTTGGAAAAATTGGAGAGTGTGTTGTCTTTGTTACAGAGTAGTGGTAATCTTGATAGATCTATTGAGTCTAGTCTTGAGGAAATTGAGTTGTCTTTGAATGAGGAGTTTGTTGTTAGAGTTCTTGAGACACCTTATGTTCCTGGTGAGAATTTGATATCTTTTTTCAAGTGGGGTTTGAAGAAACCCGAGTTTTCGGTAACTAAAAAGGTAGTTGAATTGTTGGTTACTGCAGTCTGTATTGAAGGTAGGAATGTTTATGCTTTGTGGGGTTTGGTGAAGGAGGTCGGAGAAAAGGAGAAAGGGATCTTGAGTGCTGAGATTCTTAATGAATTGATTGCTTTATTGTCAAGATTGGGCAAAGGAAAGGCTGCATTTGAAATCTTTAATAAGTTTGGGGAATTGGACTGTGTTCCAAATGCTGATACGTACTATTTTACCATTGAAGCACTTTGTAGGCGTTCAATTTATGATTGGGCTTCTACTGTTTGTGAGAAGATGCTAAATGCTGATATGTTGCCGGGTGCTGAGAAAGTAGGAAAAATTGTTTCTTTATTGTGTAAAGGGAATAAGTCTAAGGATGCACATCTGGTTTACTTGTTGGCGAAGGAGAAGAATATTTATCTGCCTGTTTCTTCTATTAAGCTGTTGATCAGCTCGCTTTGTCGCAAAGATGAAAGCGTTAGATTTGCTTTAGAGATGTTAGAGGAATTCCCTAAAGAAGAGCGGAAGCGTGCCATTAAGTCATTTTCATCTGTCATTCAAGGGTTGTGCAGGGCAAAAGATGTAACAGGGGAAAAGCAGTCACGCTCCTATTGCAGTGAAGGCATCGAAGACGCCAAAAACTTGCTCTTAAAAATGATAGATGCAGGTCCGCCACCTGGAAATGCAGTCTTCAATACAGTTATCAATGCGCTCTCCAAGAGTGGAGAGATGGGAGAAGCTAAGAAACTGTTGAATGTGATGGAGGGTAGAGGTTTGAAACCCGATGTGTACACTTACAGTGTCATTATGAGCGGTTATACAAAGGGTGGTGAGATGGATGAAGCTTGTAAAGTTTTGGATGCAGCCAAAAAGAAGCACGCCAAGTTAAGTCCTGTCACTTATCACACAGTTATTCGGGGTTATTGCAAGCTTGAACAGTATGAGAAGGCTGTGGAACTATTGGGAGAGATGAAGGAGTACGGAGTTCAGCCTAATGCTGATGAATATAACAAACTTATTCAATCTCTTTGCCTTAAGGCTTTAGATTGGACAACAGCGGAGAAGCTGCTGGAGGAGATGAAGGAGAATGGGTTGCATCTAAATGCAATCACAAAGGGTCTCGTAAGAGCAGTTAAGGAATTAGAACATGAAGAAGTAGGAACAAATGAAGTAATCGCTGCAGCATAGTAGGTACCGATCACTGCCTTTAGCTGTAGGGATCTGTATCTTCTGTTTCATTTTAATGCTTTGGTTATTGAGATAAATAGCAGGCTAAAACTTTAACACCTGCATTTTGTATGCTGAAAATTTATTAGAATTCTGAAGAAATGAGTATTTTTTTGTCTTTTCTAATTAATGTTTGCTCCCCAATTTCTTGGGTTGAATTGTTCAGAACAATAGCTTGGTAATTAAGATGGCATCAATGTCATAGAGATATATATTATTCCAATATGTAGCTAGTGGTTTCCTGTTGGCACAACATTAGCCCAATAAATGGTCATTTTGGTGAGTTATGATTGACAACGGAAATATGTTAGCTGTACTTTTTTTTAGTTTGTCAAATACATATATTACATACAAAAAGAGAGGCACGAGGAGGTCAAAAAGTTGCAAATCCATAAAAGAGTTGATGCATTATAAAGTGAATGTTGAGGATTTCATGAAAGCAAAAGCTATTAGTCCCCGTCAGAATATTCCCGTCTACATTCACAAATAAATTTGTCTGAGGCATCAGAATTTGAACTGTTGATCGTTATAGTTTTTCTTATTTTGTGAGCTCTCCTTCCTATTGTATTTTGATTACAACTGTTCTTTCCTTTTTTGTCTTTGCATCTGTTGTTTCCTTGACATAAAGGAGTGTCATGATGCTATTGAGTAACCCAACTAAGATGGAGGAATCTGTTGACTGAACTTCTTTGATCGTGCGTGGAATCAAATTACGTAGTTAGCTTCTAAGCTGCATTTTTCATCGTCTTGTAGGTTACAGCTAGATGCTGCTTATAGCTTCCATCCAAAAGAAGTATTGTATATTCTTTGCACCCGAGAACTTGCATATATTGTATTGTTTCCCTATAGTGTAGTAGTATCTCTATATATTTCCAGTAGGAAAAAATATTAGTTTCTTCTACCTTTTCCTCTCGCACCTTTTATTTTCTGATGTGTATAAATAAATAAGAGATGTAGCCAGTGTTGTTAAAGGCAAAAAGCTCTAAAAAGGCTCCAGGTTTTTAGGTCTTTAAGTGCAAAGCACAATTAAAGTGTGAACTTTAGTTAAAAAAGGCACAATGAAGGATAGTAATAAACATATGTTTAATTCAAGAAAATAAGTAACAAATTCTCTCATAATGTTTTCCTTAACAACTAATACACTTATTTTCCGATTATTGTTGTTTTTTAGTACCGCTTGATTCAAGATAGAGCTCGTGGATAATAAGGCGCACGCCTTAGTACCTTGCCTGTACTAAAGTGCAGCTTAAGCAACGCGAAGCGTTCTCCTTTAGCTTTTCTGAGCTTCAGGATTTGAGCACGCCTTAAATAAGCGTTTGACAACATTGGGTGTAGCATTATCCAGGTTACTGTTTGCTTATGATCTCTGGTAAGTTCCTACCACAACATTATGAGTAAAGTGATTATGCTTCTTTCGCGTTAATCTGGGGTATTGGAGGTAGAAAATAATTCTCTGTTGTTACCTTTGTGTGTACCAGTCTGTGTAAAAGATTGGGCGACAATTAAAGAAAACCATACATTTTACTGTATAGGTTCTCTATTATGTTTTGGTATACTTCTTGCATACCTGAGATTTATCTACTTAAAGGGAATTACTTTACTTCATTAAAAAAAAAAAGGATGTATATATTCTCTGTCATCCCTCCCCCTCCTAAAACCTAAATAGTGTCTCTCTGCCAATTCAGTTTGCCCATTACATGAAGATGCTTTTGCTTGTAGGGGATCTGGTCTGACTTGTTTGAGAGGCGCATGTATCATTTGGTTAAAGTAAAACTATGTGTCAGTGGC